ACTGACTGTGGGGTGGACAGGTGTCTTTAAAGAGCTCAGACAGGTGCTACTAAGTTAGATTGAGTGGAGTAGAGGTGGACTTTTTAAAGGCGCAGTAACAGGTCTTTGAGAACCAGAATTCGTGCTGTTTCTTAGGTGTTCAAATACTTATGTTCAGCAGTGCAAGACAAATAAATTCTTTCTCCCAGGGGATTCTCCAAAGTCCCTCAAACATGCAGTTCTGGGCCTCCTCTCCAAATTCAGAAAGTTCTCAAGTTTCATGAAAGGCAGGAGGACTCCAGAAGCCCTGACCTGTAGAACCTCCCAGCCTGTCCTGAGGTGAACTCTTGCCTCACTCCCAGGCTGACTCATCCCAGGCTGCTGCTCAGCCTCTATCTAAAAAAAAAAAAAAACAACAAAACCTATCTAGCTAACCTGGAGGGCGTTACTTCTACAATTGTTATATGTCTCTCTCCTGCTGACCACCACCCTAGATCCTACAGGAGACCTTTTAGTTGATTAGTATCCCTATTTATTTTAGGTGTTATCAATTAATATTTTCTTACAGAGCAAGTATGGAGCACTGCAAGCAATTTTCCATATATTGACTATACCTTCTACACGGCCATATGAAAAGTCGGGTACGATTGTAGTTTTCTTGTTTTCAATGTTCTGCCTTAGTTTTAGTCTGGGTATAATTGCCCCTTCCCTGGTCCCCTGCCTCCTACATTCTAAGAAAAGTTCTAAATAAACCCTGTCCATTTTTCATTGCATACCTTATTTTAGACCCAGTAATGTCATCACTGGGTCTCTGTGCATCTCTATGCAATGCTTAGAGAATAGTATACTTCGTGTTCTTAGAATAACTATGTTATCTTTTTTTCTAGACTTTTAGGGCACTGTAGAGGCAGCTGCTAATACAAACAATACGACAGCAATTATTTATAGCCTATTTATATTAACCTGAATGATCCTAAAGTTTGTAAATTTACTTTACACATCTGCTTCTTTTAATTCTGTGACACGCAGTCCCTATGTCCGGCGAATAGGGTCTGCTGTGTCACACATTTCACAGCACCTGCCTCCTGAACTACAGAAGAGGAGTTTCAGGAGGTGGAGCCAGTACAGGCAGCAAGGTACCATGGGGTATGTAGTGTTTAGGGGAAGCTGCAACGCATGCAGGGCATCCAGGAGGTTCTGAAAAAAGACGAGCAGAACTCAGAGCATGAAAGGAGATAAGTAAATGTACATTGGACTGTTAAATATAACTATTGATATTACAATGCTGATGTTATAAAATGTAAAAGTATGTTGTGACCAGAGAACTAAAGGCATTTTTTTTTTTTTTTTTTGTATAGAGAGGGATTAGAACCCCTGTCAGGTTTTTACTGCTGTCTGTTCTGTTCACCCTTTCTGTTTGTCTTGATGACCAATATCTCCAAGAGGGAAAGTGAAAGAAAATCCCACATTTTAAGTTGTCACCAGAAGAGGAATACAGGATAAAACTTCCAAAGGGGTCACAAGTGCTGGCGACGACCAGGGATTAAATAAAAAGAATAATCTCCTGCGCCAAAATGTAGATGTGAATGATTAGATAACAAAAGCAGCCTGTATTAGTAGTGCCACAAACCACAGCACCAAAATCAACAACTCAATATAAAACCAATTAATACGGCGCTAAATGAGCAAAATAAGATCAAACCATATAATATAATATAGTGGCTGACATATATAAGGAGTGAAGTGGACAGCTATGAGAATAACATGCATGAAGGTGAGCAAAAACGTGAATAATGTCCTTAATGGATAAACATAAGGTGAATGGTGTCCTTATTGGGTCACACAGACTTCATGCAGGGTGTGAGCCACAATGTGCCAATCCTCTACGGCTGGGGTGCCCCCTCACCTTCCTGCTCAGGCCCCCAGGGACCAAAGAGCTTATAATGCTGATTGTAATGATCCTGCTGGTCGGTGGATCCTGCTGGTAATAGTGGTGTCACTCACTCCTCCTGGTAGGTCTTAGTATGGAATAGTAACCTCAGCACTGCCCGTGATGTCTCTCCGATAAAGGCTCTCCAGTACGGTCACCAGTGAGGCAAGAGAGACTTACATAGTGTAAAACCTTTTATTAGAGTTAAAAACAACCAAGAGCCTACTTACACGGATCTGATTAAAAGCAGGCCTTTACACCTCTCCAAGGGTGTACTGTGTTCAGGACTTGGAGCATCAAGATGGCGTCCACGCCGGATGTGACGTCAAGCCGTCGATCGTAGGAAGCTCCTCCCTCTGGCGTATCTACGCGTTACGTCACTCAAACACGTGACTTCATCAGGATATACGCCTACTAGTGGTGGAGCTTGATTTATTGGTCGTTTAACCAATCAGCATTGCTGATGGGCGGTGCCGACCGCCATTGAAGTGAAGTACAATGAGGGGCGGACAGTCTTCTAGGTATCTTGGTTAAAATAAAATCTCAAACCGAACGATCGTATCGAGAGTTGGTATATAGGGTAAATATATATATAGGTGGATTAAGGTCACTCAGGTGCAAGCTCCGATAACGAAGTAAGGCAACCTAAAGCGGCACTCTAACCTCAATTCCCACCATAGAAACAATAATATAAAATAATTTTAAAAGGAAATAAAACATTAGGGGGATCTATAGTATATCAAAACTAGCCCCTAGTAGTACCTGTTCACCAAAGGTGACTAGGTATATATCGTAAATAAAGACCAGATCGCCCATATACAGTACACCATAGGATTGGTCAATGACCATAACATGACATTATAATTAACAATACAGAGCCTAATGCAGAACATAATGCAGAACATAGAAAATGGTAGGGGTCTGATTTAATAGTTGCTAATGAAGCAATTCAGGTCGAATTCAACGTTGAGGCCCCTCGGGGCTTGTGACCTCAAAAGGAAAATCCATTTGGATTCCATTTGACTAATGGATCTCACTTTATTGCTCCCCCTCCAGTGTCTTTTATATTTTTCTATTGCCCAGAATTTAAGTTTGGACGGGTCATTATGATGGTGGGTGGTAAAATGCCTGGGAACACTGTGTTTAGTGTGGCCCTTTTTTATATTTTGGATATGTTCCCTAATCCTCTTCCACATGGGCCTCTTAGTTCGTCCCACGTATTGCAGCCCACACTCGCACTGGAGACAGTATACTACCCCCTCTGTGTGGCATGTAATAAACTCCTTGATGGTATATGTCATTCCTGTAGTGGTTGCTTGGAATTCTCTCATTTTCCTATTACTTCCCTTTGTGGCCTTGCAGACGTAGCAGGTCTTACACTGGTAGAAACCCTTTAGATCAAAAAGTATATTGCTACGGTTAATCTGAGGGGGGTCAATCACATTTTTGACTATACTAGTTCTAATGCTGGGGGCCTTCCTATATATAAACAATGGTTTAGCAGGTAAGGCTTTCTCTAAGAGGGGATCCGATTGGAGGATAGGCCAGTACTTCTTAAATATATTTCTCGATTTTTTTATAGTGCATGTTATAATCTAAAATGATAGATACACGGTCATCTAGATGTGCCTCCTTAATCTTATCTGCCAACAATTGGGTTCTGTCCATTTTCCCCACTTCGTCGATTTTTTTAGAAATGAGATGTTTGCTATAACCTTTTTGTTCGAATCTATCCCCTAGCTTTTGGACCTGGTTGTTATAATCCTCTATCTCGGTACAGTTTCTCCTTAAACGAATGAACTGGCCCTTGGGAATATTCAAAAGCCACTTAGGATAGTGGCAGCTGTCCAGTGCAATGTAGCCATTCCGGTCAACATTTTTGAAAAATAAGTGGTGGTAGTTAATCTGTTTCTTTTGATTGCGATGTTTAGGTCCAAGAAATGAATGGATTCTTCACTGGTTTCCCATGAAAAATGTAATATTTCGGTCATTAAAGTTAAGTGTTTGTAAAAATAACTGCAAGGAGGTCTCATCACCCCTCCAAAAGATTATCACATCATCTATATAGCGTTTGTATAACGCCAACTCCTTAGGTGTTTGGGAGTAGATGGAATATTGTTCCCAGTGGGCCATAAACAGGTTAGCCACGCTCGGGGCAAAGCGGGCACCCATGGCAACCCCTCTTATTTGTTTATAAAATTGGTGTCCATGCCAGAAATAGTTATGGGTGAGGCAAAAATCTAGACAGTCAATAATGTACTTCTGCTGTTTCACTTGTAAGTTACTATATTTATTCAGGCCCCAATTAGTGGATGAAATTGCATTATCATGATCAATTATGGTATATAAAGAGGAGACATCAGCTGTGGCTATTCTCAGATTGTCCGTGTTCTGGATGGTATCAAGTAACTGGATCAGGTGTTTAGTGTCCCTAAGGTAAGCACGTGTCTCTTTGACTAGGGGTTGTAAAAAAATGTCCACATACGACGACCAGGGATTCCCTTACTTTGGACAGATTTCCTCTCACTTCCTGTTTTGGCCATGGAGCAGGAAGTAAAGGGAAATCTGCCAAATGGGACACAGATGGCAAAAAATCGTCCAGGGCTTATAGTTCTCCCTTAGGATATCCAAAATGAAAGAAAAAGCTTTGCCTCTAGTTCTACTTTAACCACTTTCACATAAAGACCATGGCGTGGCAGTGTTGTTCTTTTTATGTACAATGCTGTATATGTATAGAAGGTTTTTGTATATGAAACTATTGGCTGTGTGATTGGGGTATTGTATACACTCACCGGCCACTTTATTAGGTACACCTGTTCAATTGCTTGGTAACACAAATTGCTAACCAGCCAATCACATGGCAGCAACTCAATGCATTTCGACATCTAGGCGTGGTGAAGACAACTTGCTGAAGTTCAAACCCAGTATCAGAATGGGGAAGAAAGGGGATTTAACCTCCCTGGAGGTATTCCCGAGTTTAGCTCGGGGTAACGTTTCAGCACCACAAGCGGCAACCCCGAGCTACACTCGGGAATACACTGCAGCATTGCTCCGGGATCCCTTCTGCACTTACCTTGTCCTGCACTCCCACGATGTCCCCCCTGCAGATGCCAGCATCTGTCTTCTGGGTACCATTCCCTGCGACGTCGGGACGTACGGGGGACGGGAAATTTAAAAATTTTAAAAAGTGACATTCACTAAATACACTAAAATCACATAGTATAACATTCCTGTATCAAACCATTTCACATACATTTTGTCCCGAGTGCTTTGTCCGGCGCCCTGCCTGCATTTTTCTTTCTGTTCTTTCTGCCTGGAAACTGAGAAACGTCCATGGCGTCCAAAAAGTGTCCCTTTAGGTCAAAAGCGGTTTTAGACCGGCTAGAGAACAGCGATCATAAATCAGAACCACTTGCAGAATTGAGTGATAATGATTCGTGGGGGAAATTCGTCATCAGACACTGAAAACGATTTTGCGACTTTGCTCAGTGATGTGTGAACTTGGCGCTATATTTCAAATTTCAGTGTTTTTGGTTTGATTATATTATTGAATTAAATGTATTATTTTTTATATTTATTTATTAAATTATAATTTATGATTTTGTGTTTCAAATTGTAACATACCCGGGATGTTTACTAGACTCTTGTTCGGACAGATTTCAGTGAGTTATCAGGCCTACAATAAAAAAACGACATATTTCCATGCAAAAAAATGTACCGCTTTGAGCACAGATATACTGACATAATCGGACCGCTAGGGAGGTTAAATGACTTTGAACGTGGCATGGTTGTTGGTGCCAGACGGGTTGGTCTGAGTATTTCAAAAAAACTGCTGATCTACTGGGATTTTCACGCACAACCACCTCTAGGATTTACAGAGAATGGTCCGAAAAAGAGAAAATATCCAGTTGTGTGGAGGAAAATGCCCTATAGAGGTCAGAGGAGAATTGGGAAGACTGGTTCAAGATGATAGAAAGGCAACAGTAACTGAACTAGCCACTCATTACAACCAGGGTATGCAGAATACCATCTCTGAGCTCACAACATGTCAAACCTTGAAGCAGATGGGCTACAGCAGCAGAAGACCACTCTGGGTGCCACTCCTGTCAGCTAAGAACAGGAAGCGGAGGCTACAATTGGCACAGGCTCACCAAAATTGGACAATAGCAGATTGGAAAAACGTTGCCTGGTCTGAAGAGTCTCGATTTCTCTAGAGATGGTTGTGTGTGAAAATCCCAGTAGATCAGCAGTTTTTGAAATAGACCAGCCCGTCTGGCACCAACAACAACCATACCACGTTCAAAGTCACTTAAATCTCCTTTCTTCGGTTTGAACTTCAGCAAGTTGTCTTCACCACATCTACAGTTGTGGCCAAAATTATTCAACCCCCAATGCTGTAAAGGGGTTTAGGGACTATAGTGTACATTTGGAATTGTATTCAGAATCAAATCCTACAAGGACGTTGTAACTACCCAAATGCAACTAAAATGACATCAATTGTTTATGTAATACAGTAGTAAATGGTTCTTATGTGGTTTCTTCATTGCCACAATTATTCAACCCCTTAAAGACTACCACTCTGAAGAACAGAGGTTCATACAGGTGCTTTCCATCAGGTATTGAAAACACCTGTGGATGTCACCGAGCAGCAATCAAGCATAATAAGCACCAATTAGGCAGCTTTAAAATGACTGTGATACTCAGCTCCTTCTAGACATTTACTGGTGTGGTTACAAACATGGTGAAGGCAAGAGAATGGTCCAGGAAGACAAGAGAAGAGGTGATTTCTCTTCACAGGAAGGGCAATGGCTATAAGAAGATTGCAAAGATGTTAAACATACCAAGAGACACCTTAGGAAGCATCATTCGCAAATTCAAGGCAAAGGGCACTGTTGAAACGCTACCTGGTCGTGGCAGAAAAGAAGATGCTGACTTCGACTGCTGTGCGCTACCTGAAGCGTAGAGTGGAGAGAAGTCCCCGTGTGACTGCTGAGGAACTGAGAAAAGATTTGTCAGATGTGGGTACAGAAGTTTCAGCCCAGACAATAAGACGCACACTGCGTAATGAAGGCCTCCGTGCCAGAACTCCCAGGCGTACCCCCTTGCTGTCTCCAAAGAATAAGAAGAGTCGACTGCAGTATGCCAAAAGCCATGTGGACAAACCACAAAAGTTGTGGGATAGTGTTCTGTGGACTGATGAAACAAAATTAGAACTGTTTGGGCCCATGGATCAACGCTATGTTTGGAGGAGGAAGAACAAGGCCTATGATGAAAAGAACACCTTGCCTACTGTGAAGCATGGTGGAGGGTCAATCATGCTTTGGGGCTGTTTTGCTTCTGCAGGTACAGGGAAGCTTCAGCGTGTGCAAGGTACCATGAATTCTCTTCAGTACCAGGAGATATTGGATGGAAACGTGATGCAGTCCGTCACACACCTGAGGCTTGGGAGACGTTGGACCTTTCAACAGGACAATGATCCCAAGCATACCTCCAAGTCCACTAGAGCATGGTTGCAGAGGAAAGGCTGGAACATTTTGGAGTGGCCATCGCAGTCACCAGACTTAAATCCGATTGAGAACCTCTGGTGGGACTTAAAGAAAGCAGTTGCAGTGCGCAAGCCTAAGAATGTGACTGAACTGGAGGCCTTTGCCCATGAAGAATGGGCGAAGATACCCGTAGATCGCTGCAAGACACTTGTGTCAAGCTATGCTTCACGTTTAAAAGCTGTTATAACTGTAAAAGGATGCTGTACTAAGTACTAAGATTGAATGTCACTTGGGGGTTGAATAAAACTGATAATGCTGTGAGCACAGAAAAGACATTTGTGGTTATTTCATTATAACTGTTATGTTATATTTGTCTGACCTACAAGTGCCTCTTTAATGTAAATGTAAGCAAGATGACTGAATGATCAAAAGCAATGTCAAACTGGCCAAAACACTCAATTTCAGTGGGGGTTGAATAATTTTGGCCACAACTGTAGATGTCTAAATGCATTGAGTTGCTGCCATGCGATTGGCTGATTAGCCATTTGTGTTACCAAGCATTTGAACAGGTGTACCTAATAAAGTGGCCGGTGAGTGTATAGCGATGAGAAAATGGGTGCAGAGAAATATGGACTTCTTTGTACTCTATAGAGAACAATACAATTCTGTCTAAGCCCGGGTTCACATATATGCGGTGCGGTATATCGCATGTGAATTGCACAGGAACCGTACCGCATTCCTGTGTAAATCACATGCGATTTGTGTGCGGTGCAGTTGGAGCCTTACATTATGTATGGCTCTAATCGCACCACACCCGCACCAAAAAGGTGCAGGACCCCTTTTTGGGTCCCCACTAGAATCAGATCACATGGGTATTCACACTTATACAATCCAATTCTGCACATCGCCCCACGTTTTGTGGATCACTTTCGGGGTGTTGTTAACTTAACATACACACCCGCAGCGGTTCTCATGAACGAGGGTTGCGATTCTGATGTGCGGAAATCGCACAGAAATTGCTGCAAATTCCGCACCACATCAGTGTGAACCCGGGCTTAAAGCATAAACCAGACATGTCTGAAGGTGGTGAGAGGAAAAATAATAAATCCCAAAAATCCAGTCTTCTGGTCTCTCTCCGGATTTGCTTCTATGCCCAGTCTCTAGCTTTAGTTCTGCTAGTCCCCCCTCCGCACCTTTTTTTTTGTTGTTTTTTTTCTGTCTAAAGGCCCATTCACACTAAGAGCTGCATTTGAATCGCACCGGATCGCACTGTGCATTCCAGAGTGCGTAGTGCGATTTCAGCCTATTCATTCTGAACGGGTTGAAATTGCACTGCGCCAAAAGTAGTGCACGTTGGAAACACACTGCAACCAGATCACATGGTACATCTATGCCATTTGCGTTCAGAGTGTCATTAACTTTGTACTGACACCTTCTGCAGATCACAAGGGCAGTGCGATTTCAATGCGGTGTAGGAAACCGGCACAGAACGCAGGTTTCCCACAATGCATTCTAGTGTGGACAGGATCTAAAGGGCATGTCAACCCATGAAGCAGAGGTTGGATAAATCAATGTACAGTATAAACGTGATCTCGGTGTAGAGCTATTCACTCCCCAGTCACCACAAAGGACAAGGGGGCGCTCTTTACGTCTGCAGGAAAAGAGATTTAACCTCCATTTATGGAAAGGCTTCTGCACAGTAAGAGCGTGGAAACGTGGAATAGACTCCCTCATGAGCTAGTTCTAGGCCACTCAGTAGATCGTTTTCAAGCTGAGATTATTTTTAAAACTGAACTTCAGGATAAGCAAAATATTGTCAAAATACAAGAGTGATGTACTGTATATTCTTTCTTGAATCTTGGTAAACTTTGTGTATTTCTTCCAGATCTGTGCAGTAATCCAGTGAGAACCTTCCCACATGGAAGAAAGATATATTTTAAATATATTTTAAAAATAATTTTCCCAAATACAGCGAGGAACAGAAGTATTTGAACACCCTGCGATTTTGCAAGTTCTCCCACTTAGAAATCATGGAGGGGTCTGAAATTCACATTGTAGGTGCATTCCCACTCTGAGAGACAGAATTAAAAAAAAAATTCAGGAAATCACATTGTATGATTTGTAAAGAATGTATTTGTCTTGCACTGCTGAACATAAGTATTTGAACACCTGAGAAACAGCAAGAATTCTGGCTCTCAAAGACCTGTTACTGTGCATTCAAAAAGTCCACCTCTACTCCACTCATTATTCTAACTTAGTAGCACCTGTCTGAGCTCTTCAAAGACACCTGTCCACCCCACAGTCAGTCAGACGCCAACTACTACCATGGGCAAGACCAAAGAGCTGTTAAAAGACACCAGAGACAAAATTGTGGACCTCCACAAGGCTGGAAAGGGCAATTGCCAAGCAGCTTGGTGAAACTAGATCAACTGTTGGAGCAATTGTTAGAAAATGGAAGAGGCTAAAGACGACTGTCAGTCTCCCTCAGACTGGGGCTCCATGCAAGATCTCACCTCGTGGGGTATCACTGATGATAAGAAAGGTGAGGAATCAGCCCAGAACTACAAGGGAGGAGCTGGTCAATGACATGAAGAGAGCTGGGACCACAGTTTCAAAGGTCACTGTCGGTAGAACACTACGATGTCATGGTTTCAAATCATGCATTGCACGGAAGGTTCCCCTGCTCAAGTCATCACATGTCCGGGCCCGTCTGAAGTTTGCCAATGACCATCTGGATGATCCAGAGGAGGCATGGGAGAAAGTCATGTG